TATATATATATATATATATCGAGAGTGAAAATTAAACTTTGAATGATAGTTTAAATGGAAACGAGTCAAGTGATTATCTATTAAAACTTTCATTCAAAGTTCACTTTTCACTCTGTATGGATGTGTGTTAGTAGATGGTTGTTACCAAGTAAGGTATGAAGATTATGCGGCAGGTAAGTTAAAGAACATAATAGGAACACTCACATAGTGCATCTCCCTATGACACTCACAAAGATGTATAAGAGGAAGGTAGAGTGTTTGACGTGGTCAATAACAGGGGAGTACTTAGTCCATCTTTTTCTTTGTTTATAATGAAGATTGAAGAAGATATGCTATGTTTATATATGATTTGTTAATAATAATATACATTAATTCAAGGACAATCTATACAAGAGTCCTAATATTTCGGCTATTAGTTAAAAATAGGGTAATTTTTAGAAAAGTTTCAATATTTTGACAAAATTAACGAAAAAAATCAGGTTGCCCACTAAATCTGCGAAAATGGTCAAAAAGGGTTTTTTTCCGAAGTTTTAGTCGGTATTTTGTGTTTTTTTAAATGAATTTAGTTTGTGACCTTTTTAATAAACTTTACTAAAATATTTGAACTTTAGTTTTCCCTGATGTTATATGTATCTACACTTTTTAATATGTGACTTGTAATGAATTTTTACAATTTTCCATATTTACTCACTTGTTGTACACATTTCACCAATAAACTTATATATTAATATTAAATTTAGCCAACGAACTATATTGTTTCTAAAACACCAATTTCTTCTAAGTCCTCCTAGGTATTTTTTCCAATATCCTCCTACATAATATTTTATGTTTATTTTGTACAAAAAAAATCTCGTTTTCACAAATCCGTTTTCATGAATTTAAGGTTGTAAAAACTCATTTATTACATATTCTTTTTTACAAAATTGTAATAAAGTACTAATCTTGTAGTAGTAGTAATAATAATAATAATAATAATAATAATAATAATAATAATAATAATAATAATAATAACTCTTTGAGCTACAATTTTCTCTATTCTTTAGAAATTGAAACATGTAACCAAACCGTCGACGCTCTATCTATGATTCATGAGGAAAGCGATCTAAGATCCACAATGTTTTTTCTTAATACGTTGATTTTTTTTTTATAAAATTACGTTTTCTATAACTTCTAATATCTTTTTCAATAAAGTTACGTTTCTGACAATATTTTTACAACTTAGTTTTTATAATTTTTTTGAAAACGAATATGTAAAAAATGAGTTTTTACAACCTTACATGCATGGCAATGAATAAGTAAAAAATATTAGAAAACGGATTTTATAAAAACAAATTTTTGAAAAGAAAAACATAAAAAATGTGTACAAAAAATAGTTTATTTATTTATTAGCTAAATTTGATATTAATATATAAAAAAATGATTTAATATTCATTACTTTTATTGGTTACATAGAAATTGTGAGGAAACCTTTAATCACCTAATTACCGGTCTTAATGATAATTTTTTGAACGGTTTAGATAAATTAGTGGTGAAATGTATTAAAAATAAATAAATAAATAAATAACCACATATAAACCGTTCACGTTACCAGTTTTGCACACTGGATGACTGGAAGTTGGCTCCATGAAGAATGTTTCGTCGGGGGTTAAACATTTGTAAGAACAACAATGGATTTGAAATTGAAAGCCATTACGATAGAATTCTTCAGTCCTGTACCAGTTTAGCTTTCCTGTCACAGATCCACTCCATTCTTACAACCACCGGCATTATCAAGCATAGTGTTCACTTGAATGCTCGGGTCATCAACAAATACTCCGACTTCTTGCATCTTCAAAGTGCTAGGTTTGTGTTTGACGCCACCGATCATGAATCCAGTTCGTTCTTATGGAACACGATGCTCCGTGCCTATGCAAACAGTGGTTTCTGCTCAGAGGCATTGGAGTTCTATTCCCTTATGCGCAAAACTGGCATTCGATCCAATAATTACACATTCCCATTTGCTCTCAAATCATGCGCTGCTAATTTGCTTCCTACCTATGGAAAATTACTTCATTCTGAAATAATTAGAACCGGATTCGGTTCAGATATCTATGTAGAGGCCGCTCTAATTGACATGTACGCTGGATGTGACTTAATCCAAGATGGTCGCAAGGTGTTCGACAAAATGTCAAAGAGAGACCTTGTGTGCTGGACCTCAATGATCACAGCTTATGAACAATCCGAGCAAGCTGACACTGCGTTGCATCTCCTTCATCAAATGCAACAAGAAGGTTTTTGTTTAGATTGGGTTACAGCTGTGACAGTTGCCTCTGCTATTGGCCAATTAGGAGATGCCAAGAGAGCTCAATCTGTTCATGGGTATGCCATTCGTCATGCATTTTTCCAAGATTTACCTGTTGTTAACTCAATTCTATCAATGTATGCCAAATGTGGGGAAGTTGAAAAAGCAGAAATGATCTTTCACCAAACAAAACAAAGAAACACCATAACTTGGAACTCTATGCTTACTTGTTATTCCCAAAATGGACAAGCTAGTGAAGCTTTGGCTCTTTTTGAACAAATGAAGATATCTGATATCAATCCTAATCAGGTGACAGCATTAATAGTTGTTTCATCATGTTCTTATCTAGGTTCACAACAACTTGCAACCAAAATCCATGATTTCATCATACAAAACAAAATAGAAACAAACCTAACTTTATGGAACGCGATAATGGACATGTATGCAAAATGTGCAGATTTGGACACTGCTTTAAGAATGTTCCAAGAGTTACCCTTGAGCCACTTAGATGTTACATCTTGGAACACTTTAATCTCAGGGTATGGCATGCATGGGTATGGAAAAGAAGCCCTCAAACTCTTCAACAAGATGATCAGCCATGGCTTTCAACCAAACCATGTCACCTTCACCTCCATTCTTTCTGCTTGTAGCCACTCAGGTCTTATTGAAGAAGGAAGAAATTGTTTCTCAGAAATGGAAAAATTCTGTGTTAAAAAAGAGCCAAAACATTTTGCTTGTATGGTTGATATGCTTGGGAGAGGTGGATTTCTAGATGAAGCTTATGAATTGATAAAGAATATGTCATCAGAACCAAATGATGAAGTATGGGGAGCTTTGCTTTTGGCTTGTAAAATTTACCGAAATGCCACTTTAGGGAAAGTTGCAGCTGATAATCTTTTCCACCTTGAACCACAACATACTGGATATTATGTACTAATGTCAAACATCTATGCAACTTCAAGAAATTGGCAAGAAGTTGGAAGATTGAGACAAGATATGAAAAATAAAGGATTAAGAAAGCCTGCGGGAGTTAGTTTGATTGAGTTTGATAACAAGTTGCATGGTTTTCACACTGGGGAGGAGTTTAATTCTTTTACAAGAGAGATTTATGAGAAGGTGGAAAGAATGGTGGTTGAGATAAAGATGGTAGGTTATGTTCCTGATTTGTCATGTGTATTTCATGATGTAGAAGAGGAAGACAAGCATGGTATGTTAAGTTATCATGGTGAGAAGTTAGCTTTGGCTTTTGGGCTTATGAATGTTATTGATACAAAATTGGCTATTCGCATAACTAAGAATCTTAGAGTTTGTAGTGATTGTCATTTGGCTTTTAAATTGGTGTCTCGTGTATATGGAAGGAAAATTATTGTGAGAGATGTGAATCGTTTCCATCATTTTGAAGATGGTTTTTGTTCATGCAATGATTACTGGTAAGTTCAAATATGTGGTTCCTAAGCTGTTCATATGGGCACTCTTTGTTGCTTCTTGTTTGGTATAACTTTTGGTATGGGTGATCAACTGATCATATAGTAGTGTAAGGTCAAATTTATTTTTTAAAACAAGTTAAGTGAACATAAAAATTCTCATAACCATTAACTTGATATCTTATAGATTCTATTTTAAGTTATCTTAATAGTTTTAATTTCTGTATTGAGTTATTCAATTATCATATTTGTATTTTTTAAATAGATTATGAATATGAAAGTATGCTAGAGAAAACTCTCGCACAACTAGACTAGTATGCAACAATATCACAGTTATATTATCTGAAAAACTCATTTGTATTTTTTTATTACATTGTTTACAGGACATTAAAATTTTGAGAACTTTACCTTCCTTAGTATGTATGTAACTAGGCCATGTTTTTATGCCAACAATTATATATGTATATATAATATGGTAGTTATTTCTTTTCCAAATATTAATTTATAAAATACATTAAGCCAACTACTTGTATCTAATTTAATGTGGATCTCATTAATAACTTTTTTATGTCTTGCATAAATACATGTGAAGTAGTGGGATTCAATCATGCAAGCAAACTCCATCATTGTATTTATTCATTCATTGGGGTGTATCATCAATATCAAAAAGACAATGTCTTCTTCAAAGGTAAACCTTACAAAGTATCTAATTCCACTAAATTTGTAAATCTAATTCCACTAAAGGAAATCAACCGTGCCACCGAAAAATTCAGTCCTAAAAGATGCATTGGAAGCGGTGGATTCGGTAAAGTTTACAAAGGAGAACTCTCTGAACACTGGAAAAACCACATAGTTGCTATAAAACGCCTGGATCAAGATAGCTATCAAGGAGAGCACGAGTTCCACAACGAGCTTGAGATGATTTCCAGATTCCACCATAAAAACATCATCTCTTTCATTGGTTACTGTGATGAAGACAATGAGATGATTATAGTTTACGAGTATGCTATCAATGGAAGTCTCGATCATCATCTCCAAGATCCAGATAAAATTCGTTGCATAACATGGACACCATGGACGGATCTTCTTAAGCCCCCCCTGATTTTTTTTTTTTTTTTTTTTGAACTAGTCCATTACTATTAAAGATTTTACATATTACACCCAAAACTAAAAAATTTGACTGCTACCCCCCTGTTCTTCAATTTTTATATATATTTTACTTTCGGCCCCCCGACTCAAATGTTCAAGCTCCGTCAATGATGGACACAACGCCTGAAGATTTGCATAGGGGCAGCAAGAGGACTCGATTACCTTCACAGGGGTCTTGGGAGGCAAAATGGAGTAATACACAGAGACATCAAGGGTGCTAACATTTTGTTAGATGAAAATTTCGTTGCAAAAGTTTGTGATTTTGGGTTGTCAAAGTTGGATCACAAAGATCATCAAAATACACAACTTTATACAAAAGTTGCGGGTACCCAATTTTACTTGGATCCCACTTACAATGAAAGTGGCATCCTCTATAAAGAATCCGATGTTTACTCATTCGGTGTAGTACTTTTTGAAATGTTAAGTGGGATGTTGGTCTATGATACAAAGAGAATTGGAAGTGATAGGCCTCAGTCTCTGATAAAGTTTGTCAGACGATATTATCTCAAACAACCACACAAGTTAATTGATCCATATATAAGAGATCAAATTGATAGTGGTTCTTTTGATGTGTTCAAAGATATTGCATATAAGTGCATTAGTTTTAATTTAAGGGAACGCCCTACAATGGACACAGTCATTGAGGAGATTGAGGAAGCATTAAATATTCAAGTAAGTCTTTTCATTTCATTTTCCTTCTTTTTTTAATACTGGAATTGGTTTATATTGCTAATATGAGTTTGGATATTGCAGGACGTTGTTGCTACCCTTATTGAGTTCGTTATGCAAAACATTGGATTCAGTCATGGGAAACCTGTTGCAGCATTTACCATATACAAATGCCTCCTCCATTGGAAATGTCGTGAAGCTGAAAGTACCACCGTGTTTGATCGAATTATGCAGATGATTATTTCAGCAATTGAGGTATTCACTAACAATAAACAAAGTACTATTAGAAATCAATTTGATTAAGGGCGTCAACTTACATTAATCTAGTCATGTTTACTCTAAGCAAGATACTAGGAATCTATGATGCATGGAGACGGCATTTAGGGTGGCGTACCCGTATCAGATACTTGGGGGAAACGGCTAAGAAACGTTTCCTGGACGTATCAGATTATCCAGAAACGTTTCCTTCAAGTTTCCACAAAGTTTCCTTTTTTTTTTTTTTTTTTTTTTGCATGGGCTTTTTAATAGAGTAATAATGGGCTATTGTAATCAACAATTCGACATTACCCTACA